CTGAATTCATTAAACTCAACACTTGGGTGCCCAAGCACTAACCATCTAATAGGTGTCTCCATGTTCAGTCTTTGTACAACCTGTCACCTCTTTTTCCTGCCCAAATCTGTTCCACTCATGCTTTTGTCATGTCAAATATAACATTATACTTGTAGTTGCATCGGATAAAAATCTTGAAGTCGGGGCTGGTGTTGTGGTGCAGCATGTAAAGCTGCTGGCTGCAACTCCGACATGCCGTTTGACTGCCAGTTCAGGCTGCTCTACTTCTGATCCAGCTCCCAGCTAGTATGTCTGGGAAAACAGTGGAAATGGATCCAAATTCATGTGTACCTCCCACTTGGGAGACCCTGAGAGAAGCTTCTGGTTCCTGGCTCTTTGCCTTGGTCTGGGCCTAGCCCCAATTTTGATCATCCTGGAAATGAACCAGTGAATGCAACATCTGTATGTGTGTGTAGATGGCTGGGTGGGTGGGTGTGCTGGGTGGGTGGGTGTGCCTCCCTCTCTGTATGTAACTCTGCCTTTCAAAAATTAAATGCATTGTTAAAAGATTTATTTATTTTTCTTGAAAAGGCAGATTTACAGAGAGAAGGAGATACAGAGAGAAAGATCTCCTGTCCGCTGATTCACTCCCCAAGGGCCTCAATGGCTGGAACTGAGCCTATCTGAAGCTCGTAGCCAGGAGCTTCTTCTGGGTCACCCACATGGCTTCAGGGTCGCAGGGCTTTGGGCCATCTTTTGCTGCTTTCCCAGGCCATAATCAGGGAGTTGTATGGAAAGTGTAGCACCCAGGATATGAACTGGTGCCCATATGGGATCCCAGCAGATTCAAGGTGAGGATTTAACCGCTGAGCCATCATGCCTTGCCATCAAATATATTTTTTTTGAAATCTTGAAAACATCCTAAAATCATTGCTTCATATTGTTTAGCACATCCAGTTGATTCTACTTTAAATTGTTCTCCAAATCTGACCCCTTCATGCCACCTTTTCTTCCCCATTTTGGATTCTTTGCTTAAGTCTTGCTCTAAATAATAGCTACAATTAGCTTAAGAATACTTAAGTAAAATAAAGGATATCTCCTTTACTGAAAGCCCTTGAGTCACTCTCCATTTTGCTTACAAAGCAAGTTCTGAGACAGGTGAAGACCTAGCTGTTAAGCTGCCACTATGGGGCACCTGTAACCCCATCCTGGAATGCCAGGGCTCAAGTCCTGGCTTCCCTCCTGATACCAGCCTCCTACTAGTGCACAGCCTGGGAGGAGGCTGCAGGTAATGGCTCTGTTAGCTGGGTTTCTCCCACTCATATGGGAGACCCGAAGATTAAGTCGTCTGTTCCTGGCCTCAGCCCGGCCTAACCCTGCTCTTGAGGGCAAAGGGGAGTAAACTAGCCAGTTGGAGATTCTCTGTCTCTTTACCTCTAAAGTGAACAAGTAAATACACAATCTTTAGAAGTCAGGTTCCTTGCCATTACACACAGTATCAGGCAGGACTGGCACCTGTTCTTCTTGGACCTCACCTTTTCCAAGGGAAACTGGGCCAACCACGCTGGCCTCCTCACTATGTCTTGACCAGGCTGTGTGTACCTCTGTCTCAGGACCTGCACTCCAACCCTTCCTCCTGCCTGGCATGCTCTTCCCCTGGAGTGTATGCCCCCTCTTCTCTTGCAGATTTTTGTTCGTGTTCCACACACAATAACACACACCACCCATCCTGCCAGTTCTTTAAGAACTCCTGCAGATTTTTTAAATTATAAAGAACCCCTTACCTTTCATCACTCATCTCCCTTTCCTGCTTTATCCTTTTCAGTGGCACCCGTGCCACCTAACATACTATTTTTTAAAGTTATTTTGTTTTCTCTGCAGGATAGATGTTTCATAAGGGTCAAGGGAGATTCCTGTATGTTTTGTTCACTGTTGTTGTCCTGGCCACCTAGAATGGGTGTATGAATGGACATCCGGTTGTAAGGGAGCTGGTGTGTTTGTGAGCTTTGACAGCTAGCTAGCCACACACTCATGCAAAGTAACTGTCAATAAAACAGGCTTTCTTGCACTAACCCGCATCCCTAACACAACCTTTTAGGGAAAAGTAGCTTAATCTTTACAACACTGAAATTAATGTGTAATTTTATAGGCTTTTATAATTTTATGTTTTAAAGCTCTCAGAATAGCACCTAATATGGATAGGAGCTAGTACATATGATTTAAAACACATACCTCGTATGTATTAAAGAAGCAGTAAATACTTTTTCAACCATTCTGTTATCACCGCTGATAGAATGGTAACCAAGACCGACAAACCTCAGGAGGCTCCAAGTGGTCTTAATGTGTAATGAGGAGCAGCTTTATTAAGGATGGGACTGGAACAGAGTCTGACAACTCAATAGAGTCAGGCAGTGGTCACATGCCCTCTCTGTCCTGACCAAGGGGTTAGGGATACAACTATCCTTTATACTTATTGGCATTATACCAAGAAGTTTATGGAATAAACTAAGGAGTTGCTTTTGAACTGAAGTCCATAAAACATATGGTTAAGGAGAGGTAACTTCAGAGGTGTCTGCAGAGGTTATGGAAACTAAAAATGATGTGTATCATCTCCATTCACTAGGCGAACTTTGATGTGCTAAGCACTGGGTCAGTGTCAGGCGCCTTCTAGAGCCTCACAAACAGAGAGAGACCGAGGAAGTTAACCAGCAATTACCACGTCAGCCTTGCTACTAGGAACGAGGTGTAGCCAGTGGGTGTTGAAAGCCCAGAGTTGCTTCCTCATCCCATGTGTGATTTCAAAGGAAAGATGTCATTTGCTGCCAGTTAGACACAGTGAGTAGAACTCACTTGTTTATCCCCACTCCTTGAGGAAATCCCATCACAGTGAGTATAATAAAATTGAAAGAGTCATAAAAGCATTGCTTTTTAACCTTGGCTGAACATTAAGATTAGCTACAGAGATTTTTTTTTTTTTAGTCCCAGAGCCTTGGCTGAATTCAATCTACCTGTAGGATGGGACCCAGGGCTTAATGTGTGTATTCTACAGGTTTCTCATAGGGAACAAGAGGAGAAATAGTCATATACAGAGGAAATCAGCAGCGCTATAGAGCTTGAGATGGGGCTGTTCCTGAAGTAGACTTCATTGTACTGAGAATATGAAAAACAAATGGCAAAAATAGTTGCTCTTGGTGAATCTAGAAAAAGCTTCAGCAATCAGAGGCACTGCTGTGGGGGTAGCCTGGAGAAGAGGATTGGTTGGAAATCTGTTTAAGGAGCAGTCAGATGCTGAGATTTGATCCCGTGAGAGACTCTGACCCCATCCATGGCTTTTCAGGAGCCACACGCAAGGATAGTTGAGGGGAAAAGTGAAGACAGGCTTACGTGAGGTTGGCCATCCTGACAACTAGGAGCTCTTTGGAAAACAGCAGCCCAGCCGCACCTGGGAGGATGCAGTGCTAGGCAAAGTGGTCCAGGAGCCAAGTCCAATCAGATACTGACATGAGAGGGTCAGCTCGTTCGGGGTGCTATTCTGCTGTCCGCAAACCTGTAAACACCAAATTCTAGTCAGCTGTAGAGAGGCTCACTTGAAATAAGAAAGACTTCCAGAGATCATCAGACTTTTAGGAGAGCATTTGATAGAAAAGACAAACATCAGAACAGTCTGGCAAAAAGGAACCATGAAGAGAACTCAAGGAAACACTCTAGGAAGCAGCAAAACGTGGTGTGTGTGTGTGTGTGTGTGTGTGTGTGTGTGTGTGTGTGTGTGTGTAAAGTGATATTATAGACAGATAGGTAAATGGGGAGTATATATGAGGCATCACACCACATGCCTGAGCCCATGTCGGGCTCTCCTACCGTGGGACAGGCCTGGCCTCACCACCACCTACCTGCATGAAGCTTCACTTCACTGTACCTCCATTTCCTCATCTGTAAAAATGATGATGATACTGTTTAGTGAAGAAGAAAGAATTCCTGGAAATAACAAATCTAATGGCAGAATTCTTTAAAACTCCAGTGGATTTATTAAAGTAGAAGAAAAAGAAAAACACCAATGAAAAATAAGAAGAGAAACACACATGATAAACTTGAAAGTCACAACAATCAGAGTTGAGAGAGACAGAGAAGGCAGGGACAGGGCACAGGAAACGGAGAGGGGAGAGAGAGAAGAGGGCGAGAGGGAGCAGAGGACATGATGAGAGTCATGGCCAGGATTTCCCAGAAACGAAAGACGGAAGCTCAGATTGCAAGGACCTCCTTGGTGCCCACACGATTGGCAGGGAGAAGGCCGAGACTGGGGCATGTCCCAGTGAGATTTCTGAATGCTGAGGGGTAAAGTGAAGCTCCCGAACACTACAGAGCAGAAAGCAGGTCACAAACAAAGGGCTGCCATTTGAGTGGCAGAGGAGACGATCAAGTTCTAACTTATTCTGGAAAGGCCACCCTTGTTCCTTGACATAGAAGTTCTTTGATTTAGACACATTTGTCACTTCAAGAACAGTAGCGCTTGTGGTAGAAACTGCAGGCCCAGCTCTGCAGAGTGAATGTCAAAACTCTCATGTCCTCTTTTGTCCAGAGGCTCCTGTCTCTTTTATTTTTAAGCTAAGGTGAAAGAGTGTTCAATTTACCTTCTTTCTTCCCTCCGCCTCCAGTTCCCTCCCCTCCTTTCCTTGCCCTTGCCTCTGTTCTCGCTTTCCCTAACTTTACCTTCTGAGCCTGCACGCTTTTGCTGTATCTATTTCTGTCTCTCCTTCTCCTTTTCTCTTGCTCTCCACAGAAGTCGTATTTGTCTAATAATTGGCAGGAGATTCTCTCTCTCTCTCTCTTTCCCCCCCTCTCTCTTTTTAGGCTTTTTAAGTGATGAATAGTTGGCTTTAGATCAAAGACAGGCCCTGTGGTTTTCTGGCTGCCCCAGAAGGGCGGCACAGCTGGCAGGTGTCCCAGCTGCCTGGTGATAGGCATGTGGAAGAGATACCAAGCTCATAGGTCACTATGTGTGTTCATGTGCGTGTGTTTTTCAGGCCAACAGCAGGCTGAAGCAGATTGAGAAGGAATATACTCAGAAGCTTGCCAAATCCTCACAGGTAAGCAATGTTAAAAGAAACCAATTTCAAATCAAAACAAAAGCTAAAAACGAAACTCCCTACAAAAGCCTATGTACTTTAGACTTAACTTCCATGCTTCCCAGTCTTTCACGGCATCACATTCTGTTTTTGATGAGCGCATAAATGAAACACGATTTCCATATGCCAGTCATATGAAACATTTTTAATTAAGCATATTGAGCCCTTTCAACCAACACACACATACACACAGACAGGCACATGCTCAGATGTTGTAAAACCAGTCTGTTCACTTGAGCAAGCCCAGACCGAGGCGTATCTCACAAGGACAGGAGACACACACCCACATTTGTGAGGTGAGTGGTTTGATACCATCTGAACCTTCTTACAACATTCCATTTCACGTCAAAACCTAAAGGCCGCTTAGCAACAAAATTCAAAATGACAACTAAGTCTAGATTCAATCAGCAGCTCTTGGGGAAGGAGAGCTGTGAGTTCCTACGTCCTTATCGGACCCCGTGTTGTTTTGATGATAGTTCTACTACAAGAAAGGACAACAATTGACCATGTGTCTGTACTTGAACTACGATGATCATAGGGCTTTTCCTAAGTTGTTTTACTTTTGTCCAGTGGCACCATTTAGGAATCTCAAGCATTCCTTGGTTATTCTAAAACAAATAAATACTAGTTGTCTTCATTTTGCAGGTGGAAAAATCAAGCCTTTTGGTTTTGAGGGCATCATGACTATGAATTTTAAAGTTGACTCATCTTAGTATTCTTACATGTAGACAGTGCTTTGTGATAGCTGAAATGTATGCACATTGTATCAATTATTCTTAGTAACAACAATACAAAATAAATTTTAACTTTTGTAGGGCACTAACCCTATTGAATCATTCAGTCTTCATTCACAATCACTGCTTTTAGGAACTATTTTTGACCTCATTTTGTCAGTTAAGGAAATGGAGACTCAGGTCAGATTACACAATTTGGTAATTGGCCAAGCCAAGATCTACCCTGGATCTAACTTCAAAGTAGACATTTTGAACCTTGGTACTGCAGGGTTGGCCCAATCCCTTACATATATTATTGTTGTTATTTGAAGGGAAGAGGGCGACAGAGCTCTTCAGTTCCTGGATCTCCCCAACAACGAGGATTGTCGCAGGCTGAAGGAGAAGAGTAGACTTTAATCTGGGTCCCTCATGTAGGTGGTAGAGGCTCACCCACCTGGGCCATCGTCTGCTGCCTCCAGGGTGGACGTTAGCAGAGGCTGGAGTTGGTAGGGGAGCCAGGAATGAAACCAAACACTCCAGTATCCAATCCAGGCATCCCAAATGGCACCTCAGCTGTTGTGGCATAGGCCTGCCCTTCCCTGAAGTTTTTGATGTGGCCAAACTTGGGTAATAGTTATTGTGAAAAAATCTTCAATTTACAGTTATTTCTAAAATTGTGCATGTTATATAATTCTCATCCTATGAGGAAAATATGAAAGTTTGTCTAAATGACAAGTCACAGGGTTTGTAAATAGTGATTATGTCTTAAGTGTCAAAGGAACATGGAGAAATATTCTTCTTAATCCACTGAAAAAGATTCTTATAATCAAAATAAATCATTACTGCAGGAATGTCTAAACTTAGATCATGAAAAAAATCTCTAGCTGGCACAATCTTACATCCTGCTTATTTTGCTGTTTGATAACTGGAAAGTATGGGGTGGAGGTGAGGACAGTGGAGAAACCGAGAGAGATTTAAGATTGATAATAAACATACTTAAATAATGAGAGTGTAAACATGAGTATTTATCTAAAGGAATGTCTGAAGAAGCCCTATTAGGTGACATTAGAGTAAATTAAAGGTAAGTTATAGTGTGGAGGAAAGCCCAAACTTTGGAGCGTTGCATTTCAAAACTGACTCTGCCACTCGTGTGACCTTGAGCGAGTTACCTGCCCTCTTTGGAATCCAGTTTCCTCATTTGTCAGACGAGGGAGTGGCACTTACAGGATATAGTTTTAAGCTGTCGAGTAAAGCGATGCCAAAAATGTGTTTATTTTCGGGTGCCTCGTTAGTTTGTCATAAGCCCTGACAGTAGCAATCCTAAAATGACAATGGAGAAAACACAGAAGGGGGAAGGAATGAAAAAGGTCTGGAAAGGGGTTTCCTGGAAGTGCAGGAATTGATCAACTCTCCTTGCAGAATTTGGAGAGTTCTAGGGTTACTATTTTCTCAAGTAAAATCAGAAAGGAAAAAGAGAAGGAAGAAAAACCAACCAGTAGCAGGGATTCTATTCTGTAAGCACTGGGGACAGTGTGACAGCAGAGCAGAAAGCAGTGTTAGAAAAGGTATAGTAACATAACAAAAGATACCCCATCCTTCTCATAAAAGGGAGAATATACCCTTACATTGATAATGTTTTGTTTGCCTTTCTCTACATAAAAATATTTATACCTGTAAGTATGTGCACATTTAAATCTGTGACCTGGCATTTGAGGGACGTTGGTCTGCAATGCCAGTCAGTTCAGATTATTTTTAAATAAACATCAAAAACCAAAACCATAGACTGACATTTTCTGTTTTCAAGTGATGGTTCCCTGTTTTCCTTAACTCCTATTTCATCAAGCTGTTAAGAATGTTGGAAGCAGAGTTGTTTAATTTTATTAGGTTTTTAAAAACATTTCTATCAAATTTGGCCCTGGTACAGTAGCTCAGTTGGCTGACCCTTCACCTCTAAGTGCCAGAATCCTGTGTGGTGCTGGTTTATATCCTGGCTACTCTACTTCCCATCCAGCTCCCTGATTTTGGCCCAGAAAGGCAGAAAAGGATAACACAAAGCTTTGGGAACCCACACCCATGTGGAAGACCCAGAAGAAGCTCCTGGCTCCTGGCTTTGGATCAGCTTAGCTCTGGCCATTGTGGCCACTTTGGGGAGTGAACCATCACAGGGAAGATCTTTCTCTGTCACTCTCACTCCTTCTCTCTCTGTAAATCTTGTTTCCCAATAAAAATAAATCTTTTTTTTAAAGATTTTTTTCATTTTTATTGCGAAGTCAGACATACAGAGAGGAGGAGAGACAGAGAGGAAGATCTTCCATCCGATGATTCACTCCCTAAGTGATTGCAATGGCCGGACCTGAGCTGAGCTGATCTGAAACTAGGAGCCAGAAGCTTCTTTTGGGTCTCCCACATGGGTACAGGCTCCCAAGGCTTTGGGCCGTCATCAACTGCTTTCTCAGGTCACAAGCAGGGAGCTGGAGAAGTGGGGCCACTGTGATTATAACTGGCACCCATATAGGATCCCGGTGCGTTCAAGGCGAGGACTTTAGCCACTAGGCCACCGCACCAGGCCATATAAAAATAAATATTAAAAAACAACAACAACAAAAACTTCTCTGAGACAGAAGCACTGTTGCTTTAAATTTGCTTTCCTTAAAAAAAAAATATATATATATATATATGTGTGTATATCAAATTAAAAGGAAAAGTAATAAATGAATAAATACATTAGTACTCAGGCAAGATTCAGGTTAAATTTGGAAAACATTTTAAATATTTTTCTTCTTTAAGGGAATCGCTTAATATACGCTCCTTTCAAGCATTTAGGATCTAGTAACCCTTGAACACTAATCCTCACCTGAGGCCTGGCCCCTTTCTAAAATCCTCAGTATTCACCATGATGGCATATGTGCATCATGCCCCAAATAGCATTGCCATCCAAATAACATGCTTGTGCTTTTTGTCTCAAACCTATATATTCCTCTTTCCTTTTCAACTTGGATACTGTTTTTCCATTCATTCCTGTGGCCTACTGACCATTTCTCAAAACAGGATATTGCCAATTTGCGAGTCTATCCATGGGGTATGGAGGCCAAAGCTGGAACTCCAGCAGAGCCTACTCACTGCCGAGGTGCTGACTTCCCTGCTGCCCCATGTAAAGTACCCGCTGCCCAGGGCAGACAAGTAACTGGATGTTTGCCACGTGTTCCATACGCTCTCAACTTCATGTTCCCCTGCAGGGCGCCACCCAGCAGGTAGAGCGTGTCCAGGATCTGTTCTTGAACTTGCTTCATGCTTCATGCGGAGCTTCAGAGTTCACCCAACCATCCTAATGTGGTTCATGAAAATCTCAAACTGCAGGTTGGAAATTTAGTGCCACAGTTACATCCACTTGGGATGTGCACGTCTCATCTAGAAGTACCTGATTTCAAACCCAGGCTCCACCTTAAATTCCAGCTTCCTCCTAACGTATACCCCGGGAGGCAGCAGTAATGGCTCTGCTACTTGGGTTCCTGGAAACCTGAAATGAGTTATAGGCCCCTGGCGTCAGCCCTGGCTATGGTGGGCATTTGGTAGAATGAATCAATGAATGGAAAAGAGAGAGAGAGAGAGAGAGAGTGTGTGTGTGTGTGTGTGTGGTATGAGCAAATGGAAATAGGTGAATACAAATTGTACAGACTTGAACTACACTACCATTGAAAAACAACAGAATGATCTGAAGGTGACCTGTTCACTGTTGTTTAGAATCCTACTCACTTTAAGATTTTAAGTAAGACCACTACCGTTTATGCAAAGTGTTAATGGCTTAACAGTTACTATTAACTGCTATAGCTTTTGTGGTTAGCATCAATCACAAAGAGCCCTCCTTTTCTTTCTTAAAATACTAATTTTTAATATCAGTATAAAATGTTCTGATCCACTTCCTTCTCTTAAATTAATTCAAGGTAAGTTGATGGTTTTTAGCTATGATTCATTCAAAAGTGGAAAAACTTGATTATGATTACATGTAATATCTTTCCTTTTTCTCCGAAACTGATGCATTGTTACTGTGTTAAAAGGCTAGATTAACACAATATGATTTGCCATGTGATGGCTTTTTCTTATTAATAATGATTATTGTTCCAATACTCAAAAGATTTATTGAGTGCCAATCATGTGCACCAGTTTCTTACATTTTAGCTCTACAACCAGTAGACTTTTAAAAGACTCATTCTTGGCTTCTTGCCCTACAGCATGTTAATCTGATTACATTATTGTGATTATTTTTCAATTTTAGATATTATATCTTTTTTGAAAATACCCTGACTTTTAGCAGCCTTTCTATATCTGACTTCTCCATGAATCTAACAGCCCATTTGTCCATCCAGGCAAGGCATTCCCTCTGAGGAGCTTTGACATTCTCTCCTATGTATCACCTTCATGGGTTTAAACAACAGTTTTCCAAAGATAATCTCATTATTTCCCCCAAAGGGATCTCATTATTCGTACCAAGAATGTAAGGTTTTATTTGCCATGTGAAAGCAAGCGAGCCCTCCTCAAAACATTCTGGACTTCACTCAGCCCTTCCAAAACCTACACTTACTTCTCTTTGATGTATTCCTGTCTGAAATCTCCAGGAAATGAGAGATGTCCTTGTTTCACATCCTTGTGGTCACTTGAAATAACCCAAAATATTTTTAACTTCAGTCTTCAGTTAGTTATGCTAACTTCAGACTTAGTATCTTTTAAAGAAAAAAAAAACACCTAGTACTTTAAAAATAGACTACATGACTGTGATTATTATGGATAAGTAACTGCACATGTGATAAAATTGTATAGACACACACACACACACACACACACACACACACACACACACACTCCAGGACTGAACCCACCGCTTTACATCCTTTTAGATTGCTCAACTTGAAACAGTGAAATTAACTTTTTTTAACTGTGTGTCCCCATGTTCTTAAATCAGTCCTGAGTTTCCTGCCGCACCAGAGACATCTGACCCTTTCTCGTCCCTAGCTCCTCTGAGTGATTTTAATTATTCTGTGCATCGGTTTTTGACATTCACAGTAGGGATTTAACCTTTCCTGCTTCTCAGAAGTACTGTGAGAATTAGTTGAATTGATGCCAGAATGGAAATGTTAATTAAAATTCAGAAAATAGATGCAAACACCTCCATGCTCAGTAAATCAATTTCTCCACTTATACCAGAAGACTCAAGTTTGCATTTAGCAATATACTACTCTTACACATTTGCCATTCCACTAGTGTCTTAATATTTCACGATTCACTAATTCTAAATTTTAAACTTTATAAAATGAGTTTGCTCACTGGTAAGAGCACAGTTATTTAATATTTTATTTGAAAGATGCTAATATATATATTATATATATGTCAGTAGCAACAATCAAGGACTTCCTTCTGGCAGACTGTCCATCACATTGTAATACCACAATCTGGTCTTGTCACTGAATAATCATTGGAAAACCTTGTCTGATGTTTCTCATCAACCAGCCTCGTCCCACGGAACCAATAGAATAATATTCTAGCCCAGGCCTGATATTGTGCTTCATTATTATCATTATCATTATCATAAGCAGCCATATCCTTCTTTTTTAAAAGTCATCACTCTTTTGGAAGGAAGTGGATACATCCAAAGCAAAGGAGGTGCAGCATACTCAGTAGGCCTGTTACAAGTGAAACTTCATCAGATGGCTGCGTTGAAAAGTCGAAGGAAGTCTTGTCCTGGAGAGAAACAATTTTCAAATTTCATGGCAGGGATAGCAGCAGCTGTGAGTTCAGCTGCCACCTGAATCCCATATCAGAGGGTCTGATTTGAGTCCCAACTAATATGTTTTCCGGTCATCTGTCTCAGCAAGCAGCAGATGCTGGCCCCAAGTTCTGAGGTTCTTGCCACCCATGTGGGAGGCTCGGAGCCCTACGTCCAGGTAGGAGCCTCACTCTAGTGGGCAATTTGGGGAATGAACCAGAAAATGGAAAATCTGTCTCTCCCTCGCTCTTTGTATCACTCTGCCTTTCAGATAACTGTTATTAAAAAAAAAAAAAAACCTACAAGAAAACCTGAAATGGCACTATTTGAATGAAATAAATTTTCGTGAATGTCAAGAAGACAATTGGTTTGACAATAGAAACTCTTCAATACTTGATATTGGCCAATTGTGTCAGTGATCTACCGACACGGTCCAAAGCCTGCCGATCTTGCTCAGATGTCATTTTCAACAGTGTAAAATGCGTGCCTCCGTTTGTTCAAGTATGTGAGAAGCGGTGGTACTTGTCTCACAATAGTGAACATTTAGGACGTAAATTGCTGAACACAGTTCACAAACTTCAGGGAGTGGGCAGAAATTACTGTGTAGAATTAGGTGGCCATGAAAATGAATGCTATCCATTGTTTTCTTTGTTTATTGCAGCTCAAAGTGCTGTGAAAGGCAGAATCATTTTTTTCCCATTCTAATGAGCATTTCCCAGTTAAATAAAATCTGACGCTTGTTATGTTTTTGAGATCACAGATGTTCTTTCTTCTGATGAGTAAATATTGTGGAATGTAATAGTGGAAACTCTCTTGCAAACATATTTGGTTCAGCAGTTGTTCAACATTCACAGTTTTCTTACAGTCTCTCATTGTGTGGAATTTCATGCCTTAGACTGTGTGATATGTTAATTGGAAATATTTCGTTTGTGGAACAGAGTTTGGCCAAATCCACTCTTTTGTTGAGAATAAATACATATAAAATAGATGCCTCTCGTGGAAGAACTTGAAGTTACAACATGCTGTTTTCATTTTAGATCATAGCCGAGCTTCAGACAACCATTTCCTCCCTGAAAGAGGAGAACAGCCGGCAGCAGCTCGCTGCAGAACGGCGGCTCCAGGATGCCATACAAAAGTTTGAAGATGAGAAGCAGCAGCTGATTAGAGATAATGACCGAGCAATCAAGGTAATCCGAAGACTTCAGTAACCAGTGGTGCCAGCTGCTTTAATGTAATTAAAAGGAGGGCTGAATCCCAGCAGTGGGCAGATAAATGCAGGTACCTGCCTTGTTCACACAGCCTGCAGTAATTCCATTCACTGGACTCTACCTTTGATGTATCCGGTGACTCAGGCTGACTTCCCTCGAAGAGATCGCATGCCAACATAAAAAGTCATTTTTGGCAAGCCCAGTGCATTCACATTGAGCAAATATTTGAAAAATACCCTGGACTTTCCCTTGAGAACCACTTTGGAATTGTCTCTTGAAATTAGAATGACTGTTTTTAGCCCAGTACTGCTGGCTAATATATTCAGAAGTGAGCTTCCAATTTGCATTCTATTCTGTGCCCACATCCTTTAATTATGTATTCACATAATGAGAAATGACCTGTTGGAGGCTTGGAATGCCAGCCATTTGATGTACGCTGACACAGGACAGGGCAGACTGGGAACCTAGGTTGTTTCTGAATGACTTCAGAGGATCACACCTTTAAGAGCAACAGAAAATCCCCTGGACCCTGATTCTTTATGTGATAGGCAGTTAGATCTCAAAGGAGTTATCCTTTTTTTTTTTTTCTTGGCTTCATAGCAGTGAATATTATTGTAAGTGTCCACATCATGCTGTGTTTAATCTGTGAGGGTAAGCATCTGGAAACCTTTATAAATAAGGCTTAAAAGAGAACCCAAAGAAAAAAATTTTAAAGAATTCCCAGCAAAAGATTATTTTTCAGTGACTCTACTTCCTTATAACAATACTTAAAGCATATGGAGTAATCAAGCAAAGCAAAGAAAAATTGGGGTTTTATCACTGCCCTTTCTTCCCTCACCTCTCCATCTTCCTTTTCTATGGCCTATTCCAGTAATCTGAGTGATTTAAAGGAAGTGAGTGTTATGTGCAAGTTATTATATATGTATAAATATATACACACATATATATACTTCAATCCTCGACAGTATGGGACACAACAAAAAGCTGCCAAGAGACATAAAAACTTCTATTCTTGACATGCAGCCTTCTCACATACAAGTGAAAGCTTGTTTCTTTCTCGTTAATTATGCTTTTCCTGTATTTATACCTGTGAGTCCCCCGCCATCCCATCGTATGTGCTGTGAGACATAAAAAAAAAGATGTTTCTTATTCATAGTGTGGTAATTTGAACACTTACTTCATGACTTTTTCATTTACAATTGCACAAGACATGCCCATTGATCTGTATAACTGTGTGGCTTCACATGAACTGAGTTTCATACATGGTTTAAATTGTTTTAATTATATAAAATTTTCATCGTAATGAAAATTTTCCACTTGTTCAAACACCAAGTGGTAAGTCATTTCCAAATTTTAAACAAATAATTGAATCTGCAGTATAGAAAAAAAAGAAAAATGTATTAATTAGGTTACTCCTAATGTTACACAGTTCTGTTGTTTTTTAAAGATTGAAAACTATCCTGAAAAAATTATAATTAATATACATGTCTATTTTAATTGATTACTTGGGTAGTTTTAAACCATTTACGTGTTAAAAGGGTAAAGGCCTTTGGACCCTAATTAAAATCACAAATTACAGAGAATGAATTTAAAAGATGGCAGTATATATGTATGTAACATTTATAAGAACCATATCTATCATTTGGTACTTAAAGAAATAAAATTGCAATATAGATAAGATATGGTTCAGTTTTGGGTCACTAGCTTAGATTGCATGCAAAGTAAACTATTATTTTTTTAACCAACATGTTATAAAGTTGCTAAGATAATTGATTCATCAGTATTGCCATGCCTCATTTTTTTTCAGGCTAAATCACAAATATTTTCAATCATTTCATGTTCCATTATCTCATTTAAGACTTTGGTATCCTTTAAGAGCAAGATATTTATATCTTCATTTTACAAATGAGGAAACAGAGGTTGCGAGATTAAATGGCTGACATCGGACTGCAGAACAGTCAGTTGAACCCCTAGTCTGTCCTACTGATAGCCTCAACTATGAATTGTTATGCCAAATTTCACTGCCTCTTCTAGGAAAATGAGTCAGATGAGCAAGGACAATCTGTTTTTTTCTAGCCATCTTCCTGAATTCTTCCCAACAGCTGTAGGAGTTAAACATTCTTGTCACCTCTGAGTGTTTTATGTGCAACAATAGAGGTTTGGTGACCATGAATCCAAGTTTTCTGGAGCCACTACTTTGGTCTGTAGATTCATGTTAATAGGACTGTGAAAACAGTGTGACTTTCTTGCCATGAAGGATGCTTCACTCCACCTCTAGACCGATGAGGAGCCAAGATCTTTCAAGCTGGTGATCAGGAATGGAGATGGAGAGAAAAGCTAGTCCCCTTCCTCCTGGAGCTTGCAATAGTGGTTCCATGGACAAGTGACATCTTTCATTAAAGTTGTCTCTTAGAGAAAACTTGGGTTGTAAAATAGTCTACAAAAAGCCCATCAAAGGGCCAACAGACTGGTGCAGTGTGACCTGACAGAACATTTCTGGAGGATCATTTGGCAGTGTTTATCATTATTAAATTTGCCCGGGAAGCGTGCCTAGCCTTTGACCCACTTCCAGTACTTGCCCTAAAATGGCAGTTAATGAATGGCATGAGGCTTTTGCTGAGCACAAAGATACTTGTCCTAGCACTACTCATTTATGCCATAGCGATTTTTTCAGTTCCCATTTTATGTCTCCCAGAACCCACACCAGCATCTCTATCTTCTTTCCATATTTTTTTCCTCTATAGCAAATAAACAAAAATTATAGTATTGAATATTGTATATGAAAAAGAACATTTAAGGATATTTAAAATATTCACATTTTTTAACAAAAAATCTCATCCAGTCATGTACATATGAACACATTTTTTGCAGTTGTAAGTACATATATATCACACATGAAGATCTCAATAGTACATTAAAATTTTACCTGTGGTATTTCTGAGTGATGAGATTTGTAGTGACTTTCTTATAATTCTCATTTGAATGATAACATTACTTTTACAGTAAGGAGTGCAAACGGAAGAGCCTCCAGCCTGAAGGAATCTGGTAGACCCTGTGGGAATAACGGTAGTTGAGAAAATAACAGGCATAACCCCTGCTGTCCACCAAACAACCGATGAAATATGAAAGAACTTCAAAAGGCTCATGGAGAATGGAATTAAACGATAAGCTTGTTTTGGTGCAAAAGAAAATCTTTGAAATCCAGAAAAAAACTTTTCATGATACGTGTTTTCCATGAACTTTTTGATGACTCTGCCTAAAGTCTTTCACTGAACAAAATTCCTTCAGTATAAAAAGAGGAACAGGAAAAAACACTAGATCCACTCAAAGAGATCCTTCATGTTTTAATATCTTACTGTAAGAAAACCATCATATCCCTTGTTAGCTCATTCTTTAAATTCAAAGACAAGCTTCTAAAGAGTTACTTATCTCTGCTAAAACCAAAATACCCCAGAACCCAGTGGCTTAGAGCAGAAGTTATGTGCATGGCCATAACGCTTGAGATCAGGAGTTTGTGTTGAGCCAAAGGGATGATGATTCTTTTGCTTCATTTGTGGCACCAGCTGGGATGCCTTCTGGGGGATAGTAGGGTCTAGGAGTTAGGGGTGACATGTAGCTCAAACCTTGGCTTGGGAATGTGTGTGGTGAGTCCAGGCGCCCGGTGTGGCTCTTCTCTCAACAGAACAGTCGGACTTTCACAGGGCAGCTGTATCAAAGAAGGCAAATGCTGACTTCTCCCGAGGCGTGCCCCAGGAAGATTCAGTGTTAATTCCACTGTGTTCTGTGGGTCAAGACAGACCACAGCACCAGGTCAAAGTCAAAAAGAAGGAAACTAGACACCACCTCTCTGAGGGAGGAAAAGCGAAGACTGAGACAGTGGCGAATCCACAGTAGTAAACAGTACTGATGATCCAATTCTTTCCTTCCATTCAACCCTTAACTGCACAGGACTATGCAAACAAGAAAATCTGAATCCACACAACCTAAAATCAGTGTTGTTAATTAACATCAGGGCATATTTGCACCCAACTCATTTTGTTAAAGAAAAGCTATATCTTTTTGTAAAAATGGAAAATGTCATATGCTTTCAACAAATAATTCAAAATGTAAGGGATAAAAAAAAAACAAATGTTTTCAAAGTCACCCCGAATTCCGTCACCCAGAAGTAACCTCAGAGAATTAAAGTGAACAGCATTTCAGATGCTCTGCCACATGTGAAGAAGAAAAGGGAGATACCAAGTAGACTTAGGGAATGAATACTGCTCTCAGGGCAGGGTCTGGTCCTCGGGTTGGAACCCTGGTGGGGGTGCCTGCGTCCCATGCCAGCATGCCTGTGTTTGAACCCACCTGCATTCCCAAATCCAGCTTCCTGCTGATGTGCACCTAAGGAGCCAGCAGGTGGTAACTCAAATGGTTGCATCCCTTCCACCCATGTGGTATGCCTGCACTGAGGTCCCGGCTCCCAGCTGCAGCCAGGCCTAGCCCCAGCTCTTGAGAGCATTTTTGAAGGGAATCCACAAATGTTTGTTTTCTCTCCCACCTTTTCTCTCTCTGTCTCTCAAATAGATGAATCAAGCAAACACTACTGGTACAATTAGTTTGCTTTTGAAAAATATTTAACTTTATTTTAATTTAATAGATGAAATAAGCAAGTAGAGCAGGAGAAGTTATTAACCTTTAGACAGAGTTTGACTTTTGGCTGAAGAAATGAATACATTGCACCCTTGCACTTCCTTCCATAATCCTTCCTCGTTACTCCTACCTTTGGTAATATTATTTTCACACTGTCTAGGTTCTTGATTTTCAAACTTATTTTTAAGCATAGTATTTAGTTCAATATTTATTTAAATGGGTGCAGTGCTTATATTAGACTTTTGATGTAGCGTTTCAATTCTCAACGTTTTTACTTTGATTTGGTTCTTCTTATTTGAGTGGCAGGTACATGGCAGTGAGGAGAGCGCTTCTATCTGCTAGTTCAG